GGGGTGGTGGCGGTGTCTCTGAGGGCGCGGGCCCGCAGCGGTGTGGTGAGGCTGTCTAGGATGTGAAGGCACGGAAGAGGGCGGGTGGGTGCTTCTCAGCTGGCGTATCCTCCTGGTGGCATCCTCTGCCGTTTCGGAGGAAGAGGTAGAGAAGCAAGCCCGGGTGAGGGAAGCGCGGTCTTCTCTGTGCTGAGACTGACGTGAAGAAGCTTCCCTTAGGCGAGGTGTCTGCCTAGGGTTTGCTGGGAGGTGGATATATAAGCCACTATATATTAGTTAAATATTCTCTGTTAAACGTTTTGATTATTTAGCGAGTCGGTGCTAGATTTTGTCATATAGATCCAATTGAAACACTAGAACATTTTGCTTTTTAAAAAATAAATTCTTACATTTAAATGTAAACATTTGTCTTCTTCATAATGAAAGCAGCTTCCCCATGAAAGTCATGCTTTCAGTGTATTTTTAAAACTAAAAAGATTCGGGTTTTAAAAACTAAACATTATTTAGTAGTATTTAGTGCTGTGATGTATTCTTCGTAATAGTTTTGCAAAATAGTTCCTTTTTTGGCAGATCTTGTTCAAAATACCTTTGTTGTTTAACAAAAAGTTATGTTCAACTCTCTGTATTGATATGTGTCTTTGAAAAGTGTAACATTCAGTTTCTTTTTCTTCCAACTTGCAGATTAATAATTGTGGTCTTCAGCTGGTTATCCAGACCTCATCAATCACAGATAAAAGCAAACCAGTAATTATTACCTTTGCTTTAACAGTTATATTAACTAATGCAGTTGTATGGTACAGCCAGATTTGTATGTTTTCAGATAGGAATTGCTTTTTCAGTAGTAATATGTTGATTTTTAATATAATATTTGATGTATCTGATAGGTTTTTTTGTTTTTAAAAAAAACTCATTTCATCATATTAAAGATCCATAAAGTAAAACCATGGGGATATACCGTAGCCTGCTATAAACTTTGTGTGTGTGTGTGTGTGTGTGTGTGTATGTATGTAAATCATGTACGTGTGATTTCTTATTTTTCCATCTTTACCTCTCTTCCCCCTGTAATTGCAGTATTCCTTATAGGGTGAGACTTCTTTTCCTTTAGTCAGCTGCAAATGAATGTACCAGTAACTGTCATGTTTCCATTTTGGTTTCCAACACTGAAACTTTTCAGTAGTAGTATCTTAATAGAATGAATACTCTTTTTTATTGGGGCAATTATTTATTTTTTAAAAGCATTTGCAGAGCTTCCTGAGAACTGTAGTTGTTGCTGAGGTTGTGTTTGTCTGTGTAAACACATTATTTGCATTTGAAAACTTTAAGTTTTGTCTTCAATGTTGTGTTACAGTTTGAATTCAGGATAAATAAAGAACACTCATCTTTCAGCAATAGATTTCTGCAGCATGATCTGGAAAAGAACTATTCAGAAAGGCAAGGTGATACTCAATTGTGTTTGATTTGTTTGTCTTTTGTATCTCCTCTCTTTAACTGAACAATAAAGAAATAACTGTATTATGATTAGAATATTTAGAGGTGACAGCTTGTCCTGACTACAGTAATTCTATATGATTACTGCTGCATCACATCCTGAAACTGCTATCCTTGTACTGCCTAGTGCAAGTGAATTTATTACTTTGATTACTTTGGTTTACTTTTTGCCCCTCATTCTATCCATAGAAGAGCATCCTTTCTTCTACCTACCTACAAAGCCGCAATCTATCAAGTGCCTTACATTCCTTCAGAAGCCACACAATTTTCTACTGGAACACTTTATTGGGTGTTTAACACTTTAATGTATTTCGACAAAACTAGTTTCTAATTTGAACTCTATTATCAAGAGAGAGTTTTCCTATTGTGATTGTATACTTTTGGCTTTGAAAAGCAAGATACTTGGTGGTATCACTGCTAACTGTGTTGAAGCCTGGAAGAGCCTTGAAACACAGCGCTTCTTGCCATACTGCTGCTGCATCCCTGTCATAAAAAAGTTGATTGTCTAGGATAGGAGATGAGTTGAATTATTATGGCAATTCTTTATTCGTTCTGGTAGAAAATAAAGGCCAACAGCTGTTCAAAATGGGTTGAATTCTAGGGATATTGTGCAGTTTACTGTGGGGTAGGTTTAAGTCTGCAGTTTGGTTTTGCTTCTCCCACAGGAGACCAAAGAGTATTAAGTCCATTAGTGCATAATAAGCAGATTTATCTTCCAGTACCATCCAGTCTGACAGAACTTTCTAGTTTGGAATTGAAGCAGAATGCAGGTTCTTTATCAGGATTTGGAAGTCACACACCTAGAAAATCCAGATCTTGACAAAGCAGCCACAGTGTTAGTTCGTGTGATTCATGTAACAGTGAAAATGTGTTTGGGTTTTTTTTTCTCCTGTTAGGGTGTCTTACTGAAAAGTTATGACCTGTAAGAGGTACTGCTTCTGGCAGAACATATGTCTAAATAGCCTACTGTTCCCTTCTGGTATTGAGAAGTTAATTGTCAGGAAACCACTAGAAATACTTTCCAAAGTATTATAGAGGCATTTAAATGTAGGCTTTTTATATACCTTTCTTTAACTAAAGGACAGTAATGGGGATCTTTCACATGTCTTTAGGAGAAGGACATTAGAAGAAAAAAGTCACTATACATTGTCTATGTTTTAGTCTGATTTTTTGAGTCTCTGGTCTTACATTTATTGGCTTAAAAACCTGAGGCACAACTAATTTAAGACTTTTGCAACAATGTTAATTGGTTTTTTTGGTCTCAATTTTTTTGTCTTCTGTTTTTTTTTCACTTAGGATACATAGAGAATGTTGGCTGTTAGACTGGTTTATTAGAGTAGCTAGTGATAAAATGTTAGAGTAGCACTGACAAGATTCTAATTTGACTGAGTAATTGTTTTACTTACATAGGTATCATTTCTAATGGCATATTTTAGACAACACTGAACTCTATAGTAGTAAAACAGTCTTTGTTTATTGAAGAATTAATATTTTTTCTTATTTGATTGATTTTATTTACTTGATGGAAGCTAAAAAAGGGCAAAGATGTAGAAGCTGAGCATATATTCTCGTGGTAGTATGCACACATGATGATTTTGCAGTTGGAGTTGATGATCTTAAAGGTCTTTTCCAACCTAAATAATTGTATGATTCTGTCACCTATTTTTGACCAACACGTTTCAATGGATCACTTTCCAAATAAAGCAAAGCTCACAGAACACATTTGTTGGTTTATTTTGCAGATATTTTCAGTCATTCTCCATCTTCCCCCTTAAATTAACAAAGTGGGTAAAGCTTTGAAAATGTTTTAAAGGGCTGCCTGGTTCTTCCTTGATAATGGAGTGAAATAGAATACCAGTCATTACTAGGCATTGCATACATTTATGTTTAAAAGATTTTGCACTTGTTTGTGGTTCAGTGGGACTGTTCCAGTGTTTTAGTGCTTTAGTTTCTAGTTCTGTCAACATCTACTTGATCTATGTCTTCAAATTCATCTCGGATTATATCTTTTTTAAGTTCAGATACTTAAATTGTGAAACAATTATACAATGTTACCTTAAAATATCATTGGGTAATGCTAATTAAAACAAAAGCATCTACAAAATACCTGCTTACAATAAATTGTTGACTTAATTGGAAAGAGGAGGTAAAGAGCTGTAGTTGTAAACCAACAATGGCAGGAAAGAAAACTGCTGAAGTACTGAATGGAGGCAAAATGCACTTTCATGTACTGTGTAACTCTTTACTTTCAGTAAGAAGGAAAATTCTACTTTTATTACCTGTAGTTAATCAAACTATTTTACAGAGAAGTATTTCAGATTTTCTCTTCATGATTTTCTGACAGATAACACACATTTTGGGAGCAGTTCATCAATAACATTTCCTGTATTGCAACGGACAGCTGAAGAAAAAATACTGAGCTCTGATAGACTTACCCTGGAAAGGTGCGAAGGTGGAGTATATGTATGGAGTACACATGCCATAGCCTGTCTGGTGGTTGAGAGTGATGAGTATCCTGGTAATGCCTGTATTTAGTAGTGTGAGTGGTAGGTTTGGTTTTGTTGGTTTTGTGTGTGTGTGTTTTTGAGAGAAGACCTGTCCCATAGAGAGACTCTGGATGAGTGTCCTTGTACATCCATGCAGTAGTCGTTTAAGGCAGTTAGGCCTTTTTATTTTAAACTGTGGAGCTAGCTTAATAGTCAAATGCAAGGTCATCTAAATAATCTGTAGAAAGAACTAATGGAGACATACCCTGTAATCTGATGCATTGACTGGAGAATAGTGTGGCGACCAGGACACAAAAAAGGTTTTATCTGGAAGACATTTATTTGTGGTTTTTTTTTTTTTAATGGGTTAAGGTTCATGTAGTCCAGAAAGTTTTTTCAGGTCAGTAGGGCTCCTTCTGGAATAATTCTGAAATAATAATAACCATTTTCAGCATAATTTCCTATATCTTATGTTTCACACTTACACTTATTATTTCATATGTTTATATTTTAAATTTAACGTTCTATAAACGCATAAATTGCGTAGACATAAAGCGCTTTGAATTGTGATCTAAACAGGCTGCTTATGTATGGTGGTATGATGAAAAAATGGCAGACTGTTGAAATGTTTATGTGGTCGTAACATGAAACTTTCATGTAGTTTCTATATAACAGGCAAATCTCTGATCAAGAGGACAGTCCTTCAGAGAATTCTGGAAGCACTTCTGGTATATTTTGTTGGTTTTTCTTATAGTAAGGAGTTACTGCATTATTGACAGAGTTTAATTAGCAAATTTAGTGTTACCTAAATCGAGTTAATGTACTTTCAGAGTGAGCGAGTAGAAGGTGGATTACCAGTTGGTTACTTGTATGTGTATTTTGTTTTCTCTTTCTTCTTCCAGACAAAAACTGACAGTGTGCCCAATTATTGATGGGGAAGATCATCTTCGCCTTTTGAATTTCCAACATAACTTTATAACCCGGATCCAAAATATTTCTAATCTGCAGCATCTTGTTTTCTTAGATTTATATGATAATCAGATAGAGGAAATAAGTGGGCTTTCAACTCTTAGATCCCTAAGAGTCCTTTTGCTGGGAAAGAACAGGTAACAAAAACTAAAGTAACCTAAAGCACCTTCCTTCTTTATGGTGTATCAGCTGTTGTCTGTCATTGTTTCTGTTACTTACAGAATTTTCAGATTGTGATGTTGGCTGAGTGTTAGGAATCCCACTGAGGAAGCACATGGTTTTTGCTTGGGATGCTCTTCAGAGACTTCTTTTTATGCAAATTTTAGCAACAGTTTGGAAGTATTTTATGTGCTTCCATCTCATCTTCTGTTCTGATTGACTATTAAACGTGTTCATATATTTGTGTGTCAGGTGGAACCTCTGTTCACACTGTTAAGTATTCACTGAGTCTATAACCTATGAAATATTTCTACCTCATGTATTTAGCTGGGAGAAAGTCAGATGCATTGCGGATTTTGTTGCTTATTTATAGATTCTGTTGTGTTAGGAGATACAGCTTGCTAGTTGTATTACTTTATAAAAATGCAGTTAAAATTCTGTAGCTGTTAATTCTAATAATTTAATAGAAGTGTTTCTGGAATTGTTCACATCTAAGGCTTGTGCTCTAGTTTTGTTCAGTTCCTTTATTTTCTTTACATTCAGGAAGAGCTGATAAAGAAACTTCAGTTATGTGCAGGTTACCAAGAACGTATCTTCTAATCCAGCCTGTATTCAGAACTGTCAACTTTCAATAGGGCAGTATGTTGCTAGAGCTTATAGCTTTTATATTAAAAACCTCATGTGTAGAAATTTATTTTGTTTATAGCAAAATATTGGGGCGTGGGCACAATAATTCTAAGATGCTTTAAGGAATTATTTTCCGAATTGTAACTACCTTGTGTACTGTATAGTTTTTTTTATACTTTATAGTATACTTTGGAGGTAGTTAGGACAAGACATACTAATAAATTATTACAAGTCACACACAAGTGTTACCAGCTTCTTTTCAGCTTGATCTATATGTGATCTTTGATTATTCTTGAAGCAAATGCAGAATACATAAAATGGTTAATATCATTAGCCAGTAGATGATGCTGTTGTACTCAATAACCTAGCTTTGGAATCTGAGAAAATAAGACGGGACAGAAGTTTTAAGACACTGAAGTCGTACAGGGGGGAAAGAAATACTGCCACATCTGGAGATCTCTATAGTCTAGAAAGAGCCAGTGGCTTTCAGGTTGCTTTTTGTGTTTTTGTTGTTGTTTTTTTTGTTTTTACTTCTGTGTTCTTGTAAGAAACTCTTAAAAGCCTGTGTCACTATAGACAATTCCAGACTGGTTTAAAAAAAGACTTTGCTAGTAATAGCTGAGGGGTTTATTGTTGTTTAGGTGTCTGAATAGGTTGTTTGTTGACTTTGTTTTCTAGTGGAGCAAGTATTCATTCCTTCCCTTTTCATTTTCATAGAAGAGCTACATACATGCTGCTGCTGCATTATTTACAGTCCAAAAGGAAAATGATAGTCCAAGGCATACCCATTTATTCATTTTTTTAACATGGTTCAGAACTTTGTTATTCCTCTGTTACTCTTGGTAGGCAGGAGCAGATGGCTAAGTTTTGTACTAGCTGAAAAATGAAAGATGCTACTTGTCCAATTAAAAAAAATTGTCTTAATTGAAATCAGTATCAATAAAGAAGATCTCAAATCTGGAAAACCTAAAAAATCTTGATGTTTTAGATCTTCATGGAAACCAGGTACATTACAATAACTTGATTATTATGTCGACATCATGCATTTCTTGTGTCTTTACCAAACTATTGCTTTTTGAAAGAGAACTGGTAGCAAATTTTGCAACCCTTTAGGTCACCGAATTTAGTGTAAGGTGGTATGATGTTATTTTGAATCTTGGTTTAAAGTTTCTTTTACTTTCAGCAGTGTACTTCTGGGAAGTGACAGTGATTCCAATGCCGAGTCAAGTGAGCACTCACACCTACAAAATTGTAATCTAGCATAAGTAGTTGTGGTGTAGTTGAAGTAGCAGTCTTAGAAGTCATAAAAGAATTTCAAGTCCTATTGATTGTTGTATTGTTTCTGTTATTGGTCATCTTGCAAAATGAGTTCCCATACATATCTGTGGAAGACTCAAATTTGTACAGTAGAATGGTTCCAAGCTCTTGATTGATTTATGCTTCTGAGTGGATTTAAGTTACTTAATGTCTACTCAGTTTCCCCAGTTTGAGACTAAACAGTCATTTCTGTATCAAGTGCTACATCAAGTTTTAGCTGTATAAGAGGAAGACTTTTGTTTATTGGGTATGTCAGAAGCAGCATGGAGTATTAAGGACAAGCTGGATATAGTATTGTTTTGTAAAATGCATTTAAAACACGTGATACAAAATTGTTCCGTAATTGAGCTGACTTCTCTGATATCATTAAATAAAACACATAAAATTCAGTGTAGCAGGTTATAGCAAAATCAGCGTCTTTAAGGTCTTTGACTTACGTATTTGCAAAAGCAACTAAATTGGTTAATAATAATCCTTTATTATTAAGATAAAATAGTTATAGATACAATTTCATTTTAGTAAAAGTATTATTTGAATCCTCTGAAAAGAGGTGATAATTGCTTGTTATCTAATCAACACCAAATAGTACCTACTAAAAGCTGGTATATTTTCATGTGTGTATGGGTAATTAAACAGAATCTGGTAGAGTTTATCTTAAAACTTAGCAAAGTGATGTAGAGTATCTCTAGACATTGGTGATGAAATAATTATCTTTGTGATAGCAGTAAAATGCCAGGATTAATACTCCACATTGTGGCATGCTGTAATGCTAGATAAGCAGACATCTGCAGGGGTCTGTGATCTTCTTGCTAACCATCTGCATTTGGCTTTGCTTTTTTAAGTCTTTGTCTAAATACCTTGATGTAAATGGTGATATCTTCTGTTCTTTTTGCTGTAATATTTTGTATCCTAGTAATTTTTATTTTCTACGTATAATAGACATAAATGGAAGATGCATAATAGTTTAATTAGCAGTTTATCAAAAGCTTGCAGAATCAAAAGTTGGTTTAAGATGTTACTTAATTTTTGTTTTGCTGTCTACTTTTGTGTGCTTTTCAATGGAAGAATTCCTGAAATACTTTTTGTAGCAGCATATTCAAGTCATATGTTGTAGACTTACAGATATATACGTGTGTGTGTGTGTACATACATGTGTATATATACGAAAATTACCGACAGCCTTTTGTTCTCAAACTGCTATTTAACAGCTTACCTCTTCTCCCATTCCAGGAACTGCTAGTCTCTTTCTGGAAATGGCTGTGACCAGATTTGTACTGGTCTAAAGCATCAAAGTTCTTCATCACTGGGCAGGTTGCTTGTCTGCAACTAATTACTGTTGGCAGCTGTGAGGAGGAATAGCATGCCTGAATACAGAGTGTTGAAGAGAGCTTAGAGTGGTCCAGCAGATTGTGATCTGAAGTCTTTTCTGCAGGAAAACCTGCTGCCACCTTTCTGCCATGTAGCATGGGTTTCAGTAACAAGAAGATAAGAATATCCCCCTGGGTACCGACAATACATCATCTTCTCCATGATACATTGCTGTATGCAAGTCCTGCATAAATGTCTGGATAGATGCTGGAGGACAGATCCCAGGCTACTGTGAGAAATAAATATCTGGATGGGGATTTTTGAGTGGATAACTGAGAAATACAAAGAGCAGAAAATGAACCCAGATAATTAATGGCAATAAAGGCAATAATTAATGCCTTTCTAAAACACAGTTGCATTCTGAGAAGTCAAAAATAAAATTAAGGGACACTAGCTATTACTAGTCTTTTGATTTTATTTTTTTTTTCAGTATCACCTGAACTGTTAATAGAAGGTTTTAAGTACAAAACCAAACCTTAGGCAGCTGCCTGTTTACTGTAGTTTGGTCACTTTGTTTGATCCCTCCATTTTATAATCACAGAAAGCCCTGATTTGCTGAAAAACTGCTGGAGACTGTCAGAACGTGCTGTGTATCTGAACTAAGGATGCTGCTGTGCTTTTTCAGAACTTTTGAGTATGTCTTACTGATTGCAGCAATTACCTGCTTGTAAAACTCTCTTACAAGTTCTGATTTCAGAATAATTGCTTTCTTCTCCAGAGGGTTGTGGCTGCTCCTTGACCCTGACTCACAGCAGGTTCCCATCCTCGTGACCTGCTGGAAAGTCTGATTGTGGAGCTCCTGTAGGTAGAGCTGTGAATGCTGCTATTGGCTTTTTAAGGGGAATGAAGAGAAATTGGTGGAGAGTTCTGTGATGACAGGGAGATACGATGCTGCATATTCTTGTAGCACAGGTACCGGGAGATTCAGATGTGGCTTGAGTGCCTTTGCAGAAACATTAAAGATCAAACATGCACAAAATTTCCCCATCTGGCATACCATGATATCATCAGTGTCATCTTAGTTTTATGGTGTCTTTGAGAGTGCTGCTACAGAACAGTACAGCTGAAATAACCTAATTTCTGATGGTAAGGAAGAAAGTGTTGACTGATTTTACTGCAGTATGACTAGAAAGATGTCAGTGAAGTGAGTGCTAGTACTTAATCTCTAGCAGACTGTATTAAGTTGGTTGGTTATGTATACTTTTTAAAAATGTATGTTCTATGTCTATCTATTTTATATCTATATAAAATACAGTATGTGTGTTTATAATTATGCCTCTTTCACAGATTACTAAAATAGAAAGCATCGGTCATTTGAGTGAACTGAGAGTGTTAAACCTTGCCAGAAACCTACTAACGACTGTAGAAAACCTTAATGGATTGGATTCACTCACAGAGCTCAACCTTTGTCATAATCAAGTCTCTGCTATAGTAAGGAACAAGATTTTTGTCTTTTTATCTTTCCTTTATTATTTGTTTTTAACTGTAACTTGTCTAAACCATATCAGCATTCAAGATTTAGGAAATCTTGTGTTTTCCTTTATTGTGTTGCTTATCTTGTTCTGCTGCAATACTTAATCTTAAAAGATAAGGGTGAAACAAACATCACTTTATTTTTGGTATTATTTTGTTTAAATGTGATTACTTGTAGTGATTCAAATCTTGATGGCTCATGGTGGTTCTCAGGGGTAAGGAGGGAGGGAGGCAGGGGAAGATTCTGAAGGACCTTTGTGGTTCTAACATAAAAATTTAGAGACTTTTCCTCCCCACAAGTGCATTTCCTAGAAACTCTTAATTTCTGTAGCCCAGCTAAGCAGTCAGACTGTTTTCAACTTACCTCCTTATGAATATTTGTGAGGCAAATGCAGAGAAAATAGGTTTTTATCTTAAAAGCAGAATTTCTCTATTGAAGCGTTAACCTAGCATTGTAAGTCTTTGTTCTAAGAAACAAAGCTTTTCTCTTTGCAATTTATGAATATGAAATTATGAACGAACACTTTTAAAAATGATACAGTAAGTCTACTTAAACACCTGTATTTTTCTGCCCCTCGTAATTTCTTTAGTTCTTGGTCTATTGCTGCTGAGCCTTTCCTTTCTCAACTTTCTACATAGCTCCTTGCTATGTATGAATTGTTTTTACACTTCAAAAGTAAGGAATTTCAGCTCATTGCAAATTCTGTTACTGTACCTTCCGCGTGTTGAGGGAGAGGGTTTAGATTTTTCTTTAAGATGAGGTTTAGGCTTTCTTATGGTTGACTGGGGGGGGTGTGTGTCATGTTAATCATGATATAATTATGATTTATCACTTAGCTGCAACATTTTTCACTCTAAGTTCTTTCAAATACTTTAGTATCTGTGTTTCAGTTTCTGGACAGTGTTGGTCTCTATGACAACACTATCATTATGAATCAAGCTTTTTAAACTTGCTTATTTTGTTAAATGAAATAATCTAACATCAATTTTAAAAACTTTGCCCTCCCAAAATCATGAAATAAAATCAATATAATTTTAACTTTGTCTTGTAGTACACTTCTTTGCGAATCTTCTTCATTTTTCACCTTCTCCCCCACACACCTGCTGTAAGGTTATTATTTTTGTGTAGGAAAGATGATACTCTCATTTGTCAGACAAAATGGGGTTACATATTGAACTCCATACCAATTGTACTTTACGATATTGAATAATTCAAGTTATCTAACTAGGTTATTACATGTTTAATTGCTCATACGAACTATAATCTCTTACAATCCACTGGCCTTAGATTAACAATTTTGGGACCATTTTTTGTCTTTGAGTTATTCATTAGAGACCGTAAATCCTTGAGTCACAAGTAGTTGTTTTTTTTAAGAATAATTTGTGTTTTGTGCGAAGCTGTAGGATTTTAAAAGGCAGTCCTGTGTTTTGGTTTATAGCGAAATTGTATCATATGGAAGTGTCTTGAAGAAATCTGACTGTTCTGAAGAACAGCAAACATACAGATGAAGTTCTTACGAAGGGTCTAGTATGGCATTAGAAGCATGAACCTATGTAACCATGAATTACGTAACCATGAATTATGGAATGTCCAGTTGTGAGTTAGGATCTACTGTTAGCAAGATGAGCTGTATTTTGGTTGAAAGATGGACCTACTTGATTGCTTTGTGGTATTAAAAGTTTAGAACTTTAGTTTTTGTCATCTGTGCCTTGACGTTTGATCAAGATGTTCACCCTCTTTTCATAGAACTGCTGCCCTGTATGTCCTCTGCCCTGTATGACTTTGTATCAGAACTGAAGTAGCTGGGGTACTTTTTTTTTTCCTCTCCCCTATCCTGCCTTTTTTTTAAACACTTAAGGTGTTTGCTATCATGCCTGTGTGACTTAAAATATATTTTACAGGACAGCAACATGTCATGCTTATTATTGTCTTCCAGGGGAAATTAGTTTTGTATTCTCCAATGCAAAATTCTTTGATTAATTAAAATCCTTGCTGCTTAAGAATTACTGTGCACAACCCTATAATGCCTGCCTTCATGTTTATATCCTTCTGTATCACGTGCACCCACCCCTTTAAGCATCAGGGACAGAGGGAATGTTCAGATGTCATTCTGTTGTGAACTCAGTCTTTTCCATGGTATGATCTGGAGGATGGAGAACAGCTCTGAACCACGAGTTTTGCAACTGCAGACCTGAGCTAAAAAGCCCTGCTTGTTGTATACAGAGTTATGGCTCTTGCCTACGCTTCTTAGCTTACATTCAGTGTTTCATTACTAGCAGCTACACAGTTTGTTTAGAGCTGCCTTGCGTTCACCTGTTTGGGTGAAGTGAACTGTTTCTGTTTTTGGAATGCTATGTAGACATGTCACAGATTGGATGGAGAGAAGAAGGGCTGTGGATTTGGTTTGTGGCTAAAATCAAGGTAGTGAGCCCTGTGACACTGCCGTGCTGTAACATGGTTGTGTCCGCTGGTTGCAAGTTGTAGTATTCTCCTTGTTAGGATGAGGTGATAAATAACAGATGTATAACTGAGTGGTTAGGTATGCAGTTTGAATGGTCTATGAATCAATGCAGACTGTGCTGCTTTGCTATTATGCATTTATGTTTTATATATGAGTTTGATCTTACTTGCTGTGTTTCATCTTATCAATATTAGTTATTTGCTGTTTAGAGGTTTTCTGCAAAGATCTTTAGTGGCATATATTATATGCACAGTTTTTCGTTCTGGAAACTCATTCCTTCTTAAAAATTTTAATTGTGAAAGTGACAGCATCCTTCAGATCACTCTCTAGCAGAAGAGTCTCTGCTGTGTGGTAGTGCTAATTGCACTGCTGTATTGCACTTCAAAAACCTTATTTTCAGCATGGTCACCTTTTTTTTTAGTGTGTTTATCCTGAGGCTTAAATGCTGAGACAACACCTTGGCTCATTTCCCAAAAGCCTGTTCAGAAACCAGCAGCAGCCTTATCCTCTTTTCTTTAACATCATTTGCTTTGCGAGTGATGCAGCTTGTTCTGCAGAGTAGATATCTGCACTGAAACACTCCCTTGCAGTCTGCACTAGGGAGAAATGGAGCTGCATGTTCAAGAGAAATCAATGTTGCAGCAAGGTTATGGCATATAGAAATGAAAGTGTTTCATTACGCAAAGTAGATTGGTTCAACAGCTACTTTCAGCTACTGAATTTATGCCTCTATCTTTCCTTCTAGAAAGATGTGGATACTTTGCCCCGTCTCCAGCGTCTCTTCCTCAGCTTCAACAATATATCTAGGTAAGGGAAACAGCAGATTGCTTCCTATTGGTAATTCAAAGTATCCTATTTGAGCTGTATTTAATTAAAATTTAAATTCAGACACTATGGATGCAGGTACTTCTTTCTTTTTTCTCCTAACATATCAGCATAATCAAGTTATTGTGTATTTTCTACTTTAAACATAAAAATTCTTGTAACCTTGTGCATTTAAATGGAGTTGTACTATGAGTATTGAACCAAGAAACTTATATTTTTAATGTAAAAATTATCATACTGTTTATAATTAGCAACATTAAAAAGACATTGTTTTACTGTCACCTATATATTTTTAAAGCAGCATTACACAAGGTACCTGTGTTTAACATACAGTCACTATATTTGTGTAGTTACACAAACTGCTGAGTCAGATTCTGCTTATGATGATGAGATTTTCATGCTTGTGTTTTACTTGTCCATATATTAATAATGTCTAAAGGGTAAATTCACTATTATTTCTGTTTCAAGCCAGATAGCAGAACCAGAATAGCTCAACTTTCAAAGCAGGGCTTCTATAGTTACAAGTAACTAAGTGCTTTTTTCTATAGATAGAAATGTTTGTCTTCTGTGCTTGTTCTTATAAATGCTAACTCCAGAAATGCACGAATACTAGTGCCAATATAAAAAAAATAAATCTGCATTATCTTCAGTTTGGTATGTATTCTTTTAATCCTGTAATCACCACCAGCCTTCTTTTCTTGGAATAGAGTAATTTATTGTGGGATAGGGAAAAGATGCTTCATGTTCTGATTACTGGCAGTACTGTGCTGTTCTTGTGTTATCTGCATTCTCTGTGAATGTTACGCTTCGTATGCGCTTTTATTGTAATCGCTGCTTGGACACTGTAAGTTGACCTGCAATATGCTTTTTGCAGACAGCTCCAACCTACTTCTCTGTTCCGTAGGCTCTTAAAGTTCCAGTGCACTAGATTTCCTTAAATACTCATGTGTGTTAAGCATTTTAAAAAAATCAGAGGTGAACTGCAGGAATCTTTAATATGTTCTTCACTTAATCTGATAGTCTTCTTATTTTACATTTTAAGTTGGCATAATAAAGAGATGGGGTTGGCATTTTGCTTCTCTTGAACAGTTTACAGAATTGAAACACGCCTTTTGTTTCTGTTTTTTTTAAAAAATGTCTTAGCTTGGCAAGAGCAATGAGGGGACTGCAGTAGCTGGCTCCCTTGTCATCAGGAGCATCACTGCAGTCAGTGGAATTTCTGTTGTCGTCTTATATACTTGGTATATTTATGTAGCTTTCTGACTCCTTTCTTATGTTGTTTTATACAAATTAATGTTATTTTTACAGTGTTCAAAGAAGGAGAATGTTTCAGTTTTTCTGTGAGACCTTTTTAAAGCAGATTTATTGAACTTTATGTAATCAGTAGCTTGCTTCTTGGTACTTTATCGTGATTTTTGTCACTTATTCATTGGGGCTTCAGTTAAGCTACTGATAGATCTAGTCTTAGTTTTCATGTAAGGTAGAAATACTTAGAACGTTCATAGAAATATATGATTTGGTTTTAAATTGTAGATGGAATAGGTATAAGTAAAATCCTAATGTCAGACAAAAGACATTGCTCTTCTATACATTTTGTATACATATGTGGATGGATCAGTTTAACTCTTTATTTACCTGTCATTATTTTAGAACAAACAAATGAAAAATTACTTCTGTTGATTGCATTTAGCTTGGGTTTCTGCAATAAAAACCTTCTATTGCATATAGCAGCTTTGAAGGCTAAAAAACACCATTAACTCCTGATTGATTTGTGTAGTAGATATGTTTTCTAACAGGAAAATTGTTTAATGTAAAAGTATACTCTTGAACATCTGTGTTCTCATACTTGGCTTGTCACTGTTTGACTAACTGAAGAAGTTATATGCAACCATACTCCTAGTGAATTGCTGTGCTACATCTGAACATTCCTACAACACTTTTAAATGATTTTGTGTGTTCATACAAGTCACTTACATGGGTTTACTATGTGCCAATTTTCAAAATTATTTTTCCTAAAAACAGCTGATTATACAACTGACTCTTCTTATAGGCTTGGGGACGAGTGGCTGGAGCTGCCAGGCAGAAAAGGACCTGGGGGTGTTGGTGGCCAGCAGGATGACCATGAGCCAGCACTGTGCCCTTGTGGCCAAGAAGGCCAATGGCATCCTGGGGTGGATCAGAAGGGGTGGTTGTAGGTCAGAGAGGTTCTCCTTCCCTTCTACTCTGCCCTGGTGAGACCACATCTGCAATATTGTGTCCAGTTCTGGGCCCTCAGTTCAAGAAGGACAGGAACTGCTTGAAAGAGTCCAGTGCAGGGCCACAAAGATGATGGAGGGAGTGGAGCATCTCCCTTATGAGGAGCAGCTGAGGGAGCTGGGTCTCTTTATCTTGGAGAAGAGGAGACTGAGGGGTGACCTCATTAATGTTTATAAATTTGTAAAGGGCGAGTGTCAGGAGGAAGGAGCCAGGCTCTGCTCAGTGATGTCCAATGACAGGACAAGGGGCCATGGGAGCAAGCTGGAGCATAGGAGGTTCTATTTAAACTTAAGAAAAAACTTTTTCCCTGTGAGGGTGCCAGAGCATGGCCCAGGCTGCCCAGAGAGGTTGTGGAGTCTCCTTCTCTGCAGACATTCAAAACGTGCCTGGCCGTGTTCCTGTGTGACCTGTTCTGGTGATCCTGCTGTGGCAGGGGGTGGACTGGATGAGCTTTGGAGGTCCCTTGCAACTCCTAATATTCTGTGATTCTTTTAAACAATCAAATTGATATTTGGATATTCTAATTTATTTATCTGTAGGTACACAGAGAAAATCTGTAAATGGAAACAAACAATAAAGCATATTGCCATAACCTGGATATACTTATGCTACAGATTCATTAAAGTATTTTATTAATGATCATTAAAAGAAGTTTTGGAAAGTTGTGCTGCTTGCTATTTTTGTATGTCTGCAAAAATCCTTGAATCTTAAATAGATCCATGGTGGCATATGTTGAATTAATATTTCACTAAAAGATTCAGGACTGCCTTCTAAAAATAGTCACTACTTAAGGCAGAATAATCTGTTTAATCACTATCGTTCTTTTTCCCTTGTGCTTCAGAGGAGGCCTCTGAATGCTGCTGTTTCTCTGTAGGGCTGTTAGTAAAAAAGGATGTACTGACAAGGTAATATAAGCTAAAACCTAACACTGTAGAAGTTGCTGATCTGAAAAAGTCCTACTTCTGACTTTAGCCTCAAAAAATGTAGCAGTTACAAACTGAAAGCATTCATACCTGATGGCTGAAGGTAATATTTATCTAGAACTTCTTACAAAGAAGGCGGAAAAAACATCCTATTTTCAATTTGTTGTGTGGTACTGGGATTAGATTACAGAAACTTTTCTTCAGCAAAGATATGCCACTGAGATTCAGAACGATGTTTATTGTTCATATTTTAAAGTGTGAAACCAAGGAAGAGGATTTTTTAAGCCTGGGAACAACATGCATGTGTCCAGGTCAGCGCTATGCTGGCTTTTTCATTTAGTAAGGCATGTTGCCTAGCCATATGGAAAACCTTGGATACAAGCTCCAAGGACATGAAATTGTTTTTCTTCATTTGGTTGCTGAATTGGAAACCTAACAGAATTAATGTCTTAGCCTAATAAAAACAAGAAGATATCTTTTTTTATTTAACAGAATGAAAATTTGTAAACATATTGTTACATACTTGAACAACAGCAGTACAAGGGGAATGAAAGATTGACTGTGGTAACATGTTTTTGTCCATAGTTTAGTGGTTAAGAAACCTGATGGAAAAACCCAAATTCTCTCCTTTGAATGTTTTTTTCTTTTTTGAACATACAGTTCCCTCTTGGGTCTTCTGTCAAACTACAGCGAGAGTACAGTGCCTTATTTCTCCAGAACTCTTTCTCTTTATGGAAAAGCTAATTGATGCAAAGGTATAGAGAAAGAACCACTGTCTTCCTAAGTATGTAGTCTGTAACAGAGAACAAGTGTTCCTGCATCCTATTCTTGTTTAATAGATGTATGCATGTGAATGTGTATCACTGGTGGAGCTTACACCCCTCAGGAATACTGTGCTGCTTAGTAGTTTTTGCATTCTCATATGAGGCAGGAGGTGGGTTTGCATCCCTTCTGGCAGAGAAGATAATTGGTTTTACGCCAATGTAAAACTGGTCTAATCTGAAAAGATTTCCAGAAAGCACTTTTTGATAACTTAGCCCAAATTCAAAACTTGTTTCTGTGTTGTTCAAGCTGCCACTTTATCAAAGAGAAATTCATCCAGGAAGAAAGAAGGACAGGGAAGTAGAGGTGGTTGCTGTAGTTTGGTGGTACTCCTGCAGGAGAGGATCTTTTGGAAAGAGAAGCAGACATTCCACTTAAGAAGATGGACTGAGGCAGTCTGAAACACCATCATCCACAGCTGCTTTGTATTTCATGAGCAGGTTAAAGGCTCCTTTGTGGTGAGCAGAGGATAGAGAGAGCATTGAGATGTGGCCTCTGATTCCTGTCGGGTGGTCACTGTGTGGCTGTGCCATAGCAGTCTGTGTGCTGGGAAGCAGACAGAGGCTTGGTTGTGAAGTATGCAGTCTGTTTGGGAAGTGTATTACGTTAAAGTTTTGCTTGGCTTAGGGTTGGGGTGCCAGTGTGACAAGCACAGTGTAGTAAGTTCTCTACATCGAATTTCTAAAGCTCTGTTTTTCAGGTGTGTGTACAAGATATGAAAACATAGCAATTTTGTACTTTCTGCTCTTTTGGTCTAAAATTGAGCTTGCTAGTAAGGCAACTAAAAGCAGCATAAAGCAAACACGTCTGTTTTAGCTCCAGAAAAAATGTCCTGGTATGCTGAAGCAATGAGAATTTCAAAGCATGGCAGTATGTGTTACCTGGAAGGTCTTGAAAACATGAGCAGTTCTTAACTCTTCTGTCATTTCCTAGAGAGATTGGTTTTACTAAAAATCTGTAAATTGTGTGTAATGGCAGAAGTACTGTTTGGCTAAGTGTTTAGTGGGAAGTGTGTGGAGTAAATATATTTAATGCTTTCAATAAATATATTTACAATATTTAAAACTAATTTTGTAGACTAAAATTTTTCGTGTCCTATTTGACAGGCAAAATCTCTTCTAACCTAATGGGAATTCAGTTATTTTTTCTCATTCTAACATGTTTGCTTTACTAACTCCTTTGCAATTTGGGAAGATTATCTTTTATTTTCAGAACATGCTGAACCTGGATTTTAAGTAATATGGCAGCCTGATCTTCCAAAAATGTAGTTAGGCAAGCTGTTTTATGGGAAAGTAACTGGATCACAAAAAGAAACAGAAAACGATAATCAAACTCATTGTTTTAACCATGTGTACAAAACATCCAATTCTTCTGAAAGGCTGAGCACCTTCACTGCTTTCATTGGAATGTGTACGTATCTCATTTTCCATCAGTTGTTGTTTTAATACAGTAAGGAGAAAGGTAGTAGTATCTGCTGCATCCATTGGGTATATTGTGTAGAAGTTACTTGTGTGCCCTACTACTTATGTTGGGTTTTTTGAGATTTGTATTGGACAATTTATTTTCTTTATTCTTTCTAGCATATATTGGTAGCCAGGCCTTTCTTCTGCTGGCTGAGACTCATTGCCATTTGGTGATGTTATTTTTATATTTTATCCGTATTTCTTTTTGTTGTCGTTGCAGAAATGGTTTTATCTAATACCTAAATATTTTTCAGGGCTATCTCATTTTATAATCTGACTCTCTGGAAGATCTGAAGCCTTTTGCAGCTGAATGTTAGTCCTGAGGAGATTATTGTTTGCTTTTTTGATAGTTGAACAATACCAATGATAAACACAGTTGCCACTTTATTCAGTCTTCAGTATGAACGTCTGTACTGCACATGATTTCTGATCCTTAAGTTCAGGGCATACTTAGTTTGATATCCTTCCAAGCATTAGTGAAGGAAGACTTTTTTCTGCCACCAAGAGTGAGAAGAACTAGAACCGGTTGATGCAATCAATAAGGTTGTCAGAATATTTTGAAAAAAGGCAATAATTCTTTATTTCCCTTTCAGAAATAGCCTTTTATTTCAAGATGTCGTTCAGTATTTATCTAGTAAAGTGATCCTCTGTTTATATTTTTGTGATCATCATCGATACTTTTGTAATTTTTAGGGTTTTTTAACTTCATTGTCAAAAGTACCAAATAATTTCTTACTTTCCACTTAACTTCATAACACAGACCTGACTTTTGAAGGCCTAAGTACGTAAGGATGGGTGCACAGTTGTACATTTACATGCTGTAATAAATTTCTTAAAAGGTGTTGGGGAGTCATATTTATTTCTGTAACTGTTCAGCTTCTTTTGAAATCAACTTAAATAGTTCTCTGTTGTTTAAAAATACTGTTTATCTGAGTCAGTTGCTTTCTTTTCACATTCCATCTTCACTGAAGGAAATATGATACAGGGTGTATATCTCTAAATACAACCTACACAGGCCAGATATTTTTGTCAGGATACCAAATCAAATGCTTTCTGAAAAGCCAACTTGTTTGTGTTCATAGATTGAAATTGGAACCATCAATGTCTGGTTTGAAGATAATGCAATGCTTTTGTAATAGCTTTTCTTCCAATATTTAATGGTGTTGCAAACACCCTGGATCATTCTGTGGAGTTTGTGGTTGGCTCTTTTCTTGTATTTTCCATGGTTTTCATGCTGGCTTTAGCAAGTACACTTTGTATAATTATTTGGAATATGATTTGATATGTATCCTATTTTAGGGTTTTTTTTAGGTGGAACTATACTCCTGTGGTTAACAAGTTCTCCTTATTCTGCATCTCTTTATCTGTATGTGAAGAGACTAAAAAGTTTAACAGCAGCAGCCGTTGGTATTTCAAAGCACAATTTACTTTATAATACACAATATTGATGGGTGGTGTTTTCATTACTTATTATATAGTAATTATTATTATTAATTAT